TTACTTAATAGATAGATAGATAGATGATAGAGATGATTCTATTATGTGGACCTGTTTATTTTTGGTGCAGTGTAATAAAATACTTAAACATGTGCTTAAGTTCCAGCATAAAACTGATTGAATATAATTACAGCTTTCTGCTCACAGAAAATATATTTGTTCACAAAAGCAGACACCAGATTTTAAGTGATTCTGTTCTACTTCCTATGTCTCTTAATAATTAGGACAAGCCCCCAACCCTCAGGAACAGGTTTTTTTAAACATGCAGAGGTTTGATGAGCAATATGGTTGAACAGGGGCCTGAACCTAGATTTCCTCACTTCCAATCTAGCTTTTTAATTATTATATTCCACTGGTTCTTTGTATGCATTGTCCCCTCATTTTGATTGCTGGGAAAGTTGGAAAATTACTAAAAGGCCAAGCATCCTATTTTGAAATTTGTATCATTCATATAAAAAGCCATCAAAAATTGGACCATAAAATAATTCTAGCTTTCCTAAAAAGCTACAAAATAGATCTGAATGAGTCAGCTCTCAGGTCTTAAAAATGAAATAAACTACACAATTTTTTAAAATTGGCAACAGCTGTAATTCAACAGCTTGTTTTCTAACACCCAACAAACATACAGCTAAGACATTTGCTTTACCTAAAGGTAATTGCGCTGGCTGATCTTTGAGCTGGGCTTCTTTTTCCTGTTCACCTTTCAGAACTGCCACAGCTTCAGCAGTTACTACTTGGACTATCCTTGCAGATACTTCTTCTGGGACCGAGGAAGATTAGCAACAAGACAAACAAAAGCGTGTTAATGATATGTGAAACGATTAAGAACACTTGCACATACAATTATTTTAGATCTAGGTTGCAATTCTGAAAGCACTTTTCTACACTTGCCCTGTTTTGCTCAACTATCTTAGGACTGCTGCTTTCTAAAAAAAACCAAAAAACCAAAAACCTATTGATTTTCTGTTTCTCTATCTGTTGTAATGCCGGATTTCCACATAGTTATTATAAATTCTAGTCCCCATGACTGTATTGACTATTAAAGTAACTGTTGAAGAACAGTACTTTTACTTCAGCTGGCGTGAGCAATTTAAACCCTTCAGATATTACTCTGCTACCTCTTCTAGCAGCCCCAAACTGCATGGACTATGATGAGAGTTGTTGGAAGCTGCTGTTCAGCAACATTTGGAGAACTGCAGAATCCCTACCCGTGTACTACAGTGAAATTATTCGAAGACTCTTTTGTGTAGAAAAAGTAGTTACTTCCTTTATTTAGAATACTTGACCTGTGGCAGGAAAGCATTATCCCTACCAGCAAATTAGTACTGTATAGACTTGCTAATTAAGAAAGCACTGTCTACGACATGCTGTTTCCTAGGGGTTCTGGGATCTCGGTTAGTGAGTATGGGCAGGTTCAAGATTAAAATAAAAGCTTGGCTGCTTAGTATTAGACAGAACGAAGTGCCCAGATCAACCATCTCCCTCCTGGATTCATGAAAGGATGCCAAATAGGTTAGTTACATCATTACCACCACCCACCCACCCCACCCAATACTATTTTTCTATTGGAGAGAAATTCCAGTCAGATTCAGCTGTCAAAATACTTGTGCTAACCTTGGTTTTATTTGGAAAGAAGGTGCCAGTGTTCTCTGCCTAACGTGGCAAAATGCTTTGGCTAGTTTCACTTTCATACCAGTGGTCAGGAAAATCTTCCCCTCCCATCATTAGACTTTTGTGTCAAGTATCAGAAGGGACTACCACATTTATAGACAACTTGGCAAAATTGTTTACTTAAGAGTTGTTATTGCTGTTTTAGAGGGGAGTGAGAGAATGGGGGAAAATTTCCTCATATTTTCTACACCTGACCTAAAAACTTCAAACAAACAGAGGAAAAAAAATCCTTCCATATAATAGTTGGCAACCCTAGCTTCCTTGCCAGGAACTGACTTTCCTGAAAACTAAAAGCGTAGGGAATGACTTGACCTCTGAAGTCCAGAGGGAGGGAGCTACAGCTAAGAATGTTATTTTCTGGGTCCCCTGATCTTTCATAGGGTGGGCTCCCAAAGCATCTTTTGTCTGTTAGAACATACAGGGTAAACAGAACCTGCTTGGAGTAGATGGTCCTGAGGGCAGCCAGGTCCCAAGCTGTACAGAGGTTTATGGAAATCCCCAGAAGCTTGAACTGGGCCTCAAAGCCTACTGGCAGCCAATGAACCTCTTGCAAGATAAGTATTATTCTATTAAACTGGGTAACACTGGTAAGCAGTAGCATTCTGTGCCAGCTGCAGCTTCTGAGTCATCTTCCACAGCATCCCATTTAAAATAAATTACAGCAGTCTAACTGAGAGATGCCAAGGGCATGAGTCACTGTTCTCAGTGCCCATGACCATCACTTGTACCCGCTGTTCCACCAGGAGCCAGAGTCCAGGCAGACCCTCAGACTGAATACCAGATTTTCTAGGGCAGTACAACCCCATTCATAACAAATAGGTGGCGCATGATGGAACCAGAGTGTTTCTGTATAAACAGGAACTGCTTCTTACTGGGATTCAATCTTATTCTGTTTTGACCCATCCAGTCCCTCATCACCTTCAGACAACAAGTCAAGATTTATTTAGTTATTTATTAAATTTATATGCCAGGGGAGATGGGCAGCATATAAATTTAATAAATAAATAAAAAATAAAATTTCTACCACATCTCCTGTTCAGTCTGAGTTAGAGATATCGATGATACCAAAACTCAAACCAACAGATGATCTCCCCATAGCATATAGATATAAAATATAAATATATTTATATTTTATATTTATAAATATAAGTGATGAGAAAAATGATTCAAGGTTTGTTCCTTGATTTAATGTCCCTTAAATAAATCAATTTCTGCTTCAGAGGTACAAAAATTAGTTTCTATAACCTTTCAGATAAAATTTGGTTGGCTGAAGAAACCTAACTCATTTATGCTAGGCTCTCAAATAACATCAATCCTCTGCTCATACATGGAATTTGCAACAGCTTCTGATTACCAGACTGTAATTGTGTCTACTGAGTAATAATTCCCTAAGATCTCTTTCCCATCAAAGTCCTGTGCCAATCTATGATTAGTGCCACCTCCTTGTGTCCCCACAATGCCATTATATTTGCACAGGCTTGGAAGATGAGCCATTTAACTACTGGCTTGTTTGTTTGAGAGACAAATGCTGCAAAGAGAGATTTATATCATTTTCTAGAACTGCAAGACAGGCAATTTCCAGCTGGAAAATTGCCTCACCATACCACCCTCAACCAGGATATTTACTTTCCCTATTACAACCAAGGTACTGCAACATTTTGCCAACATTTCCTCCTCTTTCCCAGTCATCCCAAGAGGTGACTTTACCAATTTGATCTACACATAGCAATTCCTACATATGGCCATTCCTAATATATTATTTTATCATATAACTGCTATTTGGTTTAGGGAAGCAGCTGTTAATAACAGAATCATTGGCTGTATTCGGCAGACAAGGTAGAGTTCTTTAATTGTTAAGGACCCCATTCACAAGATATAGCACATAATTTCTGTATCTTTTCAAGGATATCAACAGTCTTAAAATGACCACCATTGTTAAAAGGTAAGTCCTTGATCCTGGATTTAGCTTCAGTAGTCAGTCTTGTAGAACAGAGCCATGCACATCGGGAAAGCTCAGTAGAAATAACTATCACCTTCAAGGCCGATTTAACAGCATGACAAGCAATCTTTCTTGTTTAACAAAGCATGCTGTCTCTGCCTGGAAAACCTACATGACTTGACATTTGTCCTCCCAGAGAAAGTGATGATACTTTGCAAACAGGCTTGGTAATGGGTCATACATAACGAAATAGAATGCCCAAACGTATGCCCCAAAGTATCGAACCTCTTCCTTTCCTTATCAGTTGGCAATGAATGTTGCTGCAGTTGTGACCCAGACTGGAAGGCATCCACTGCAATCGAGCTGAGTGATAGATGCTAGATCAAAAACTGACAGCCATCATCTCACACTCTGCTGAGATTCTAGGCATGCCTGGAAATAAATGGTGAATCTTTCTTTTTCTTTTCTTTTAATAAGTATGAGTATGAGACCTGGAGATGTGGTCAGGCCTGGGACCAATTGATAGATCCAATCTTCTATGGTATGTATTTGTTGTTGAACTTTCAGCCCTAGGGACTTATAAACTTTCTTAAGTTGAGCTTAATATTGGAGAAGATGGGGGTGATTCTGGAAGTGAACAAAGAAGTGTCAGGGAGGATTTATTATCTATCAACTCTTTACCCCTTGGATGATCTAGGAGAAGAGGCTTAGCTTTGTTCCATGCTGGAGAAATTTGCCAATCCTTGTCACTGGCAATAAATTCTGCCTTGGACAAACCCACAGCAGACTTAATGCTGCATTAGCCTGAGCAAACTGCAACTCCTCAGAAGACTGTTTGCTGCAATGGGGGACTCTCAGTCTTTTAGTGCACTGGTCACTAAGGAGGGAATAAACATAGAGTGTAACAACAGTTGAGGTAGTAGGAGTAACTAATGGTTTGGACAGAGTGTACATGACCAGTACATCCCTCCATCCGGATCTCAGTATCAAGTATAATCAAAATGGTCACTGTTATGCCTTTTTCTCAAATTCTGCTTGTTTGCTTGTTTCTCATTCTAAATATGATGCCTCTATCTCATGCAGCTGTCATGATCTGGACCTGCTTTTCCTATCACCATCTTTAGAATGATTATGATTGTGGATTTCAAATGCTTCAATTTTCTTCTTGATTTTATTTTCCTCTTGCAATCCCAGCCACTGTATACTTTTTGGACACTAGTACTCAATTATCCAAGATATTGCTTATTCCAGCATCAAACTGTTGCCCTTGATCTTGCAGCCATGCTCGGTTTTCAATAACAGAGATGTTCTATGACCCAAGTCAGAATAGTGAAAAAAAGAATGCAGTCTGTGGTGGCATTGGAGAAGCAACTTTGCTGAATAATGGAAGATTTAATATAAGACATCTAAACAAAACAAAACATGCAAAAAACAAATTACCACTTTTTTATCAAGTAAAATTCATTTCTTTGTACCTTTAGAACAGTGTTTTTCAAACTTGGCAACTTTAAGATTTGTGGACTTCAACTCCCAGAATTCTCCAGCCAGCATGGGAACTGAAGTCCACAGATCTTAAAGTCGCCAAATTTGAAAATCACTGCTTCAGAATATAGCCATAAAATCTGAGTAAAAAGGTAGGGGAGTTATTCAATGCTGCTACAGGCTTATTTGATGTGCTACTCTATCGCTTTGCTGTTCACATTTACAATGCTGAATGAAGTATCTCTCTTCTTGTGTAGACTGTACGGAAGTGGTTCACTATGACTATGAAAGAGCCAAAGATTGCATTACATCAGTGTTGTCCAAACTTGGCCACTTTAAGATGAGTGGACTTCAACTCCCAGA